CATTCTAGACACACTGGCGGTGTTGCTATTTATGTCAAAGAATCAGCTCAATTCAACCTTCGTACCAACGAAGTTATTGATGGCAACTGGTTCTTGGGCATTAGAGTTGTACGTGGCATGATGATGGGTAATGATGGTGTTTTGTATCATTCTCCCAGTCCTAGTGACCAGCGTTTTGTTGAAATTTTAGAGAACTGGCTCGAGACATTCCTTGATTCTAGTAAATTAAATATATTGCTGGTGATTTTAATACTAATTGGCGTTATAATTATAATTTGAATCAATAGAAGCGTTTATCTATTTTTTTCAATTTATAACAAACGGTAGATGAATAAACGCGTATTTCCTGGCTCTGTAGAATATTAATTGACCACGTTTATTCCATCCAATTCCAATTTAGATTCCATTTGTTCAGTTACGGATACTGATTTGAAAATAACCCATCATGGCCATGTAACATTGTAAGTTTTATCGTGGATTTATCTACAAGTCTGAATAATGGTCTACAGAACCTTCATAAAACCAAATTCGTTACTTACACCTAAATGATTAATGCATTAGATAACATCAATAACAGCGATGACTTAGTCAAATTGAAGTGCTGGAGGAAATATTCGATGCAAGTTGTTTCGAATCTTGTTGAGAGGAGCGAGGATTTTCCATTCGCTACCAGTAACTTAGATGAATCTACATCTGTTCTTAATAACGCTTTGAAGACGTGTACCAATCAACTAGTTGAGTAAAAGTTTGTTTCTTTGAAAAACTCGAACAGCTGGTACAATTTGGATCTTTTGCGTCTTAAACGGTACACAATCGCGCGTAATAAGTATTCACAATCGATAAAGAAAACTCATTGTGAATATGTACAAAAGAAGATTGATCAGCATCAAAACAACAGTAAAGAGTTATGGAACATTTTGAAATCTTTATTATAACCTAGTAATTGCAAACCGCGGTCCATAACTTTTAATGGCACATTAGAACAGTCAGAACAAGTAATTGCATCTAAATTTAATGATTATTTTGTCGGCAGTGTTTCATTGATGAATCAATCCATTGAATTGGTTGATGAACCTGACGAAATAAAACAGCCAGTTAATAGTAGTTGTAGATTTGAAGGTTTTCACCTAATTACATCAGATGAACTTAGCGTTATTTGTTTTTTATTAGGAAAATTGGCCTGAGTAGATAATGTTAATGCTAGAGTTTTTCATGATTGCTTTCGTGTCTTCTTGCTGGACCTTATTAAGGAATCATTGCAAACTGGACATGTACCACAAATGTGGAAGGAATCCTTAGTGGTTCCTATTCAAAAAGTTACTGGAATGATTAAACCCTATAGTTTTATTTAATTTTTTTATTTATTTATTTATTTATCTAAATAAGTGTAGACCGTTTAACAATTTTACTTAAACGCTAATCGTTACAATTTTACTTCAAGTACTTGCATAACATTTATAATTTATTATTGATGCCTAGCTAACCTCGTGAAGAAAGATTTTTTAAGCGTACTTTTATTCATTGTTATGTCAATAGATTCAGATTATGTATTATGGCAAGACATCATTCTATTCAATGGCTATTTTTGGCAAAGTATTTTCTTTAATTGTTGATGCTAAACAAATTTCTATTCCACAGTGAGCGAGTGGGAGCATACAATTTCTGAGTTAACTCTTTGCGAAATCACATAGTTTATAAAAGCAATCATTGCGACCTCTCTTCGCTTTTTGAGCTCATCTAAATTAATTAGCATTCAACGCGACTCATAAGATGAAAGTGGAAAACTCGTCCAACCCAACTATCTTAGAGCAAACAACAAGAACTGCTTTTGAACTGATTCAATGCGGTTTACATGTCTATCATGATATTGAGCCCAAACTATGCTACAATATTTGAGAAGAGGCCTCACATATGCTACGTAAGTGTAAACTAAATCTTTTAATGTACCCGAGCATGTTGCTTGCTTTGTAGATAATGTTATTGTAGTGATCAGCAAAGGTTAACTCGGAGTCGAGGATAATACCTAAGTCTCTGACTGCATAGGATCTTTGGATTGTTTTTTGGCCAAGAGTAATTGTGTCGTGTATTACAGCGTGCTTTCTTGTGAACATTTGTGCTCATTCATGAAAATTATAGATCTTAAGTAACTTGCAAAACCCATAAACACATCTTAAAAAATGAGCTACGACTTTTGTCGCTTTTAAATAAAGTAGACGACTCAATTTTCAATCTTCTCATAATCAAAATACACGATACGAAAAAAATACCCAAAATTAAGTTTAAAAAACTCAACGTTAGGTTCTATTATTTGAGCTCCACCGTGAATCAGCAAAGTGACGTTGGTACAAATTTTTTCATTGATTTGTTTTCGGTCGATCTTGTTTTCCATGCTGAGCACCAATGCTACCGACGCCAGGAAGGCAGCTCCAACACCTGGACCCTACCTATCAACCCATAAACTCATGAACCGGAGACCAACGGCTTTACTTCCCTTTTGAAGTGATCAGAGATGTTATGCCTCAGAACATCCCGGCGGCACCTACTGAGATTGAACCTATGACTGCTGGGATGAGAGGTAATCACGCTTACCACTACTACACCGGCGCCGCTGTTGAGTTTTAATAGATGAAGTCAAGTTTTAGTTTATTTTTCGTTAATCATTATTAAGCTCAAAACGTAATATTTTCCACTATCGATTGATGTAACACTTTCCGTATTTGTTTAAAAGTTGCGAATTATGTTACATAATGTTATTATCGAAAAATATCTTGAAATATATTTCATATATTTCGCTTAACTCAAACACGCTGTGATTCAAAGTAAAAAAGAACTCAATTTTCAGTTAAAAGTACTCATCCACTTAACTTAGTTTTGGATGAGAATCATAGCAACCTGCGTTGTGCGATTTTGTCATTTTTTTTCGTGCACCATCGCCTCCGTTCGTGCTGCATTAGACATCGTATTAGTCTTCATTAGTGCGTGGTACAAAGTGACAAGAAATATTTGGATGCTGGGTTGTGAGTGTTTTTACTTCCATTGTAGCATGATGATGATGATGATGATGATAGAGGTTTGCCACCCATTGTAGCACGCAAACTAAGTCCGATAGCAGTAGGCTCTCTTCTCTGTTTGTCTTGATCAAGCTTAATATCCTCTTATTATCCTCAACATGTTGGTGTATGAAGGGCGAAAAACGGATTGGGTGGATCGATAGGCAAAATCGCCTATACGCATCTACGGAACAATAAATAATCTCCTTCCAGCAACATGATCGCACAATTGGTCAAAAAGACGAGCCCCCAAACAGGAATGAGTGGGGAGAAGAGCCCGCCCTTTATCCACGAAATGTTATCAACAAGGAGTTGGCATTCCCACTCTCCCCGTCCAAATCGCTTCAACGGGTGCCCTGTTAGACCCTTCCTTCCCTTTTGTACATGCATTTAAATGTTTATGTTATGTAAATGTTATATATAATGAATCATCACTAATGCGAGTTGATATTGTCAATAACGCTTACATTTCGATGAAGATGATGCTACCTATTTTACCGTTTATGTCTATTAACAATGCATTCGTTCCGAGAAGGGGCTCATGGTACCACTCATCCTGTATAGTCATCTTCTTTTCTCCAGGATCGCTCACCACCCGGAATGAACGCTCGGTGCGGTTAGTAAAAACAAATAGTGTTACATGCAACAGAAAAAGAGATACAACTAGGATGAGTTTTTTAAAGTAATAGTTTCATCTGAATACCTAACTAACCACATCGTATCTCAGTGACATTGTCTCAATCTGAACCTACACTTAAAGTTATGTTGTGATTATATGGTTACACGTCCGGACATTAACGAGAATATGGTTATACATCTTCACTATCGGAACAACGGGTAATCATCGAAAGTACTTGAATTTTTACTCAAGCACTTTTGAGCAATTTGCAATCACCCTCTCATACTCAAAATGTGCCACGACCAACCTGGCACAACGATGCCCTATACGGAGTGTACCCCATTAGGCATAAATACGTTAGGCATACGGGCGTAAGGCATAATGGACGTTAGGCATAAAATACCTTGCTGCTGTGCAACTCTAGAAACCTGTTTCGAGCATGGTCAACAATGCTTAAATTAGGCTAAGCGTTGAATGAAAGATGATAAAAGTTATACAAACATAGTTTAAATAAACACAATTTGAAATCCATTCTAAGATTTTGTGAAAAGCAATGAGGTATAGGAAAAACGTCACGATAGGGGGGGGGGGGTAAATTTCTCCTCGATTAAGCGTGACATAATTAATGCATGGGCCCCTATAGGATCTCTGATCAAAGCGCAGGGAGTGTTTTAGTTCCATTGTTTACAAAAATCTCAATTTGTATCTACTGCAGATTTGCATCGACCATGAACTTCCGAAGAAGTCAAACTTGGTATAAGGACGATGAGGTTTTATTCTGCTGAGAAAGAGTGGTTTCGCTCAGACGAGTTGTTGCGGAAGTGCTTATTAATTGTTTTGTAATTGTATATTGTAATATTGTATGGAAATAAATTCAATTTATCTTTGGTTGTCATATATTCGTTGATTTCCATTCGATTTTTTTAAATCCGACGTTTACCTATTCCATTCGTTTGATTATTAGGTAATATTCGCTCAATGAATTCTTGATCAGTATTTCTCAAAATTGAGTTTTCTTTTTTAACTTAACTTTACCAAGCCCCACAGAAACCACGTGTTGTGTGAAAGGAACTCAATTTTGGGTCCTTTTTTTTTCTTACCGAAAATTCTAGTGGTACCCCTATTTTTGAAATTCATCAAGAAATAGCCAAACTATGTCATTGCAAACTTACCGTTACATTTTTTTTAAAGTTTAGTACCCACCCTGTTCGGAGTGTTAATTTAAATTCTGTTACTACTATATATCTAATGTTGTTCTTACACTTTAATTTTTTACTAGTGACCTGCATAGCTTATTGAGTTGATGAAATATTTATCCTTTTTTTTTTCAGGTGGTTCAAAATGGATCAAAAATTGTATGAAAGTGAAAATAAGTCGGGTGGCAACGGCGACGAATTCCAAATAGACATTGCCCTCGCACTGTCGCTGCGTATGCGGGAATTAAGTTCCACTACAAGGATGGCGTATGGAATGAAGATGGCCGACAAGTTTGACGACGTTGTGTTGATTGACGATACAAACAAGGAGATGCACTTAATTCAAGCAAAACACGGTGATACCAAGTTTGAAAAGGTTAAAATTGTCGATCTGGATGCCCTGTTTCCGACCGAAACTAGAGCCAAACACTGCGGAGACTTTTCTTTGTTCAAGTATGCCAAATCCTACTTTATTGTGAATGGAAGATTGGAATTAAGGGAGTACAAGAAGATGTTTTACATCTTCACCAATAAAGATCTTAAACAGACCGATAACGAGTGGGTGAAGTTCGAAGAACGAGAAGTAAATGAAATCCTACGTTTTTCTGGATTCAGTGCCCGAAACCTAAAACTTATTCCAACCGAGAAGGCTATCGACGAGGTGCGCAATTACATCAACAAAGATATCATTGCGATTAAAGATGCGATCAAAGAGTTCTTTCATAGCGGAACGATCAGCCTAAAGTTCATTCACTATTGCACTCCATTGAAAGAGGTTATGACAATAGACCAGAAAAAGTGTCGCTTTGCAAGCGACTTCAATGCTGAACATACAAATCCCAATGTTGCCATGCTATACACTTTGTTGCAATGCGATCAGGTTGATATGAAGAAAAAAGTAACCGTCAACAATAATTTCCTGGCGAAAGACTCAAGGAACAAACTTTTGCCACCATTCGTTGGTGAGGATGACATTCGTGACTTCTTTCGCGATTTTATTCTATCGGTGGGTCAACCGAACGATTTGCGGCCTATCATCGTTGGTGAACTACTGGCTTGGATGAAGACGTGGATCCAGCCGGACATTCTCGGTCAGCTGGGGGAAAAGGACTTGGAGCAGGTATTTATCGACCTGCAAGGTCATTTTTTCGACTATAACAAACCTGTTAAAGAAAAAAAGAAGCGCTGGTTAACCCAAGAAGCTATAGAACAATGCTTTGGACAAATAAAGCAAGGAATGCAGACGGGTGTGATAAAGCGCATAATGTCAGAGGCAGAAGAATGGCAATTAACGTATATTAACCGCCATATAAAGTACGAAGAGGTGGCATTAGAACCAACCGGTAAATTATTAGACAAGGCAAGAGATAAGGATAGGACTAGCACAATAGTTCGACAGATAAGTGATACTACATTTATTGAAGAGCTTCGAGGATCATTCAAAAACCAGCAACATATGTTACTTGTAGCAGACCCCGGTATGGGAAAAACCAGATTACTGCAGTTTTTGACATTTGAAGTTCAAAAAGAAAACCAATCTGCAGTATTCTTGGTATATTTAAGCACGCTTTGTGAGGAACTTAACAAAATAGAAAAAGTATCAAGCTTAAACGATGTCCGGGGAATTCTCAGCGCTGTTCTTTCAGAGAATAACTGTAATCTCATCCTAAATGCCCCGGAAAGGCGAAATGACGAAGGATTTTCCATTATTTTAGCATTGGATGCATTTGACGAAATACATTCCAAATACACCGAGAAAATAATTAGTATACTCGAACTGCTCAGCTCGAAAAAGAGTATTCAGTTCATAATCAGTTCAAGACACCACGTGCAGAAATTATTGCAAAGCAAGTTCGATGTGAAGCTAATATTCCTAGTCCCTTTTCAGCGTGAGGACCAGATCCGGTACTTGAAGAAAATATGGATGAAAAACATGGATGTTGATAAGAAAGTTGCTGAAAACTTTTCGGAAATTCTTTTAAAAAAATATTCCAGCATTTTATCCAACTTCAGTGAAATTTCCGGTATACCTCTGATGATGCGAACGCTTGCTGAAATTTACTCTGACAGATTCGAACAATTTATTTTAGCAGGGAATATAAAATCATTTGATTGGTCAGAAGACATATTGAATACTGTGCAACTTTTAGAGCATTTTGTAAAGAAATGCTTTCACGTCAAATTTGAAGAAAAATTTAAGACCACGGTTGATATCAACGATGCTGAATACAATTCAATAACTGACGTGTACGTTTTGGAACATCAACTGCTAGCGATAAAGCTGCTAGACATTGAAATGCTCATGGATTTATTCATGAAGCCGGGTTATAAGCAAAAATATAACTCATTCAAAAGCCGTTGTGAGCAGGATGCAGAAAAATCTATTTTGGTGAAAGTAGTCAACAATGATGTTCAGTTCTGCCATTTATCTTTTGCTGAATACTTCGTAGCAAAATATTTAAGTGATCACATTTCCGAGTTGGAACCAAACTTATTGATCAACGTTCTATCTCAACGCGATTTTATTAGGAAACTGACACTGATCAAGCTTGAAGAAAAGAAAAAATACTTCGAGACTTTAACTTTGAGCAGGCTTAACTGGAACGTAGCATTGTGGGCCTGCGAGAGTGGTTGTCTGAAATTGGTTGAATCCCTAATAGCTGAATCGTACTCCACTCATAAACTAAACTATATGTTAAAAGTCTCTGCGAAGTGCGGATATTTTGAAATATGTAATTTTTTAATTGGTTACAATGCAAATCTCGATAAAAGTACTGCGCTGCTTTCTGCCGCTGGGAATGGTCATCCGAGTGTTGTTAAACTTTTGATAGCGAATAATGCGGACCAAAATGTGATGGACGATGAGAATTGGACTGCCCTCCATCATGCATGCCGAAACGAAAATATAGAAACGATACAATTCTTGATTGATCGTGGTTTGAACACTTCCTCTCGGTCAATCCATGATCAAACTCCACTTCACATCGCTGCACTGAATGGCCATCCAAGTTCTGTTAAACTTTTGATAGCGAAAATTGTGAACCCAAATGAGGCGGACGATGAGAAATGGACTGCCCTCCATCAAGCAAGCCGAAACGGAAATATAGAAACGATACAATTCTTGATTGATTATGGTTTGAACACTTCCTCTCGGTCAATACATGATCAAACTCCACTTCACATCGCTGCACTGAATGGCCATCCGAGTGTTGTTAAACTTTTGATAGCGAATAATGCGGACCGAAATGTGGTGGACGATGAGAATTGGACTGCCCTCCATCATGCATGCCGAAACGGAAGTATAGAAACGATACAATTCTTGATTGATTATGGTTTGAACACTTCCTCTCGGTCAATCCACGGTAGAACTCCACTTCACATCGCTACACTGAATGACCATACGAGTGTTGTTAAACTTTTGATAGCGAAAATTGTGAACCCAAATGAGGCGGACGATGATAAATGGACTGCCCTCCATCATGCATGCCGAAACGGAAATATAGAAACGATACAATTCTTGATTGATCGTGGTTTGAACACTTCCTCTCGGTCAATCCATGATCAAACTCCACTTCACATCGCTGCACTGAATGGCCATCCGAGTGTTGTTAAACTTTTGATAGCGAATAATGCGGACCCAAATGTGGTGGACGATGAGAAATGGACTGCCCTCCATCATGCATGCCGAAACGGAAATATAGAAACGATACAATTCTTGATTGATTGTGGTATGAACATATCCTCTCGGTCAATACACGGTAGAACTCCACTTCACATTGCTGCTGGGAACTACATTCAATTACCATAGAGCTTTGGGAGCAATATCGAACATTTATGGAATATAGCTTTGATTCAAACATTCCTTTGCTAACCAAAGATGAAATTAATTATGCTCTTGAATCTCTGACTACTTCTATAGTTGAAGCAAGAGCTGCCTCAGTTCCAAAGTGCGAGGTTAAATTCGATTCAATTATAATAGACGACGATCTTCAGCTCTTGATCCGTCTTAAAAATGTCCGTAGGAGGCAATATCAAAGAACACGGGTTGCTGCCATGAAAGTTATCTGGCGGGATTTGCAAAATCAAATTAAAAGGCGATTCTCTGCCCTGAGGAACAACATTTTTGACTATTCCACAAATTCGGAAAAAAGCCCAGAAACTTTCTAAGCAATTCGAGAGTTCTCATAATTTCAGTTTGGGTCTTACTAGTCCTATTGAGAATCAGGTTGCTCAGGGTTATCTGAATATTTTCTCTCGGAAAAATATTTTTTATGATTACTGGGGGACTGATTTAGACAAAGTAAGATCTATAGCTAAAAAGTTTCATAATATGAAAGCTCCAGAATCCAGCATGGTATTTTCTAAATCCTCCTCAAAAAACTCCCAGAGAGTACCTTGTCTTTCTTGGTAGAATTATTTAACAGATGTTTCCATTTGGCATATTTTCCTAATAAACGGAAAAATGCTAAAGTTGTTCCAATTTTGAAGCCGGATAAAAATCTAGCTGAAGCTTCTAGGCACCGCCCAATAAGTTTGCTTTATTCAATAAGTAAACTTTTTGAAAAGATAATTTTAAATAGAATGATGCTTCACATCAACACGAACTCAATTTTTGCAAATGAGCAGTTTGGATTTCACCATGGGCATTCAACTACTCATCAACTCTTAAGAGTTACAAATTAAATTTGTTCAAATAAATGTGAAGGCTGCTCAACTGGAGTTGCTCTTCTAGACATAACAAAAAGCATTTCGAATGTTTGGAAAGAAGGTTTGATTGCTTAATTGAAAAAGTTTAATTTTCCACTCTACATTATGAAATTAGTTCAAAATTATTTAACTTTGCAGGTAAATTATCCAAATTCCAAATCTAATCGACTATCTGGAGTTCATCAGGGTAGCATTCTTGGGCCTATATTGTATAACATTTTCACTTCGGACCTCCCTGATTTTCCTCAGGGTTGCCACAAATCTTTGTTCGCTGATGAAACGGGCATTTCCGCTAAAGGAAGAAGTCTTCGTGTTATTTGCAGCAGACTGCAGAAAATTTTAGATATTTTTTCTTCTTATTTACAAAAATGGAAGATTTCTCCCAACGCTTCCAAAACTCAACTTATAATATTTCCACACAAGCCTAGAACTTCCTTTTTGAAAGCTAGTAGTAGTCACATAGTCACTATGAACGGAGTACCAATTTCCTGGTCAAACCAAGTGCAATATCTTGGATTAGTATTTGACCAAAAATTAACTTTTAAAGATCACATTGAGGGCATTCAAGCCAAATGTAACAAATATATAAAATGTTTGTATCCTCTTATAAACAGGAAATCCAAACTATGCCTGACGCGAGGGAGGCGACACATCTGAATCTTAATCCTAGATGCTCAGCAAATCTCACACTAGCGAATAAATCTTCGAAAAATCTTCTTTCATTTCTCGCATCTACTTGCATCGCGCATCATATATGTGCAGGAAATCTTCAGAATTGTCATCAATCTTCTTTCTATCTACTCAGCGTGCGTGCAGCTAACCACAGCATAACACAGTTTTTCCTGCATCGTAGATGGAGTCGCTCCCCTCGGCCTGACGAATAAACTTCTAATATTTAAACAAGTTTTTAGACCGGCCATGCATTACGCTGTGCCAATATGGTCCAGTTGTTGCACTACCAGAAAAAAAGCACTTCAAAGGATTCTACCGTACTACCGAGGTACATAGAATTTCGAATGTTGAGACTTTAGAACAAATGTCCAACAAAATAATTAATAATTTATTTCGACTAATTCTCTTTATACTTCGATAAAATTTAGTTTTAGTTTTTAGTTTTAAGATTTCAGTTGTTATACTGACATGCAGGTTAAAAAAAACTTGTTTAAAATACTGAATTGCCCAGACAGGAACAATGAAAAACATTTATACATATATATCATAACAATTAAGGCTGGTAAGTAACTGTAGTAGCTGGAGCACCTAGGTTAAAATTAAATGTAATTTATTTTAAATTTGGAACAAATAAAGAGTTTAAAAAAACGTCAGCACTACCATGCCGAGATAAGTTGAAGATTGCAGTTTCCGTTTTTTGTGTTTGCTTATCTTTGTTTTTTCGTCTCCTTCTTCCTGTGC